AACTTTCAACCTTCTCCACTTATTTTTTGATTTTTTACAAAAAATCCATACCTTTCAAACACTGAATCATCTCAACATTCATTTTTCTTTTGTGCAATCTTTAAAAAACATTACCTGTACTCCAAGTGAGTGCTTCAAAAAATTTTTTTTTCTTCAGTTTCTCCAATTAGGTGAACATTAAAGAGAGAGAGGGAAAAAAAAAAATCCTACCAGGTATAGTGCTACAAGAAAAGGTCCTATCAGTAAGGTAACAGATTTGAAGCGAGGTCACCTATGTAAAAGAAATCTCAGCTCCAGAGTAGAGGTGTACAAGTCATGTGGAGTTTCCCTAGCAACAAACAACACTGTCCGTGGAAAAGAGCGGAAACCAACCCAAGACAATATAGCATGTGCATATGCTGTATAAAAAAGTATATTCTCTGTATATTTATTACTTGATGTGTTCTTAAATTCTCTATTTCAGAAATTCTGGGTTAAAAACACAAACGTGGAAGCAAAGGCCTCCACTCCACTTTAAAAACAACAACAAAAGTGTAATTCTCTTGTCATTCATTTCACCACTGAAGAAACTGGATCGGGCCATCAAGACTGCCGGCCCTGTCTTCAACCTGGAATTTCGAGGGTGACTAGGACATCGGAAGCGCAAAGGGTTTCAGGAGAGAACAGACCAGTCTGTTGAGCTGTTTGTGGTGCAGGAAACAGGAGCCATGACAACCAGCACAGCACAGGGGGCCTGGCTTTCTGTCCCAAGAGCGCTGCTTCCTCACCCATGTCTGAAATAGCATGGCATTAGTGTCTTCAAAAGCATCTCAGATTTTTTTCACTCTATGAAAGAAATAGGTTTCCTTAGTAGTCACAAATATTAAAGGGTATTGTCAATTGTTTCCTTAAAAAAAAAATCCAAAGCTACAACAACAAAAATTAATTTTGGCAACAGATTTCAGTAAAGATCAAAACTATGTGCAAAGAGTGGATTTTTATGATTACTAGGAGCTACTGTTCATTTGAACATGCAGCATTATATTGCAATCTATGCAGTATCTAAAGAGTAATCCACAAGATGCAGGAAATCCAAACATTCCTTGAAATTGTACAACCCTACTCCAGAGCAGTCAAAGTGCTGCTGCTGGACACCTCAGTGTTCCACACACACACCAGCCCCGTCCCTGAGTAAGAGGTGTGAAAGTTTCCGCAGAGTTCCTTGTAGGGGAGGAAGGGTGCTACCACTTCCTGTGTGGGGGGGTACCCAACACACTCACCTAACAGAAGACACACAGGGTCACGATTCAGAGCTAGAAATGGGATTGCTACCACCACCCACCACCACCACCACAAAATCAAATCGAGTTGGGGCAAACCAAAGTTTCACCAACATAGAAAATTATCCTGAAAGTCCAAATGAATATGCAATTTGGATTTCCACTTTAAAAAGATTTGAGGTAAGTGGCATCCATCTGTGTCCCTCCCTCCCCACCTCTGCCCCTAATGTGGCCCAGACAAACTGAAATAATTCTCAAGTTCAACATTCTAAGGAACAGTCATTTTATGTATTTAGAAATCCCTATAAAGAGGTTCTTGTTTGTTTGTTTCTTATTAATATTTTTCTTTTCGCCCTGACTAATTTCATGGTGATTGTGTTTCATTGTAAACGCAGAAGGCCTGCTGTTATTAGTTTAAAAAATGGAAAAAACAGGAAAGAAAGAAAGAAGACAGCTATCGGTTAATATTGCAAAGAGGGCACAGTACAGAGGCACATGGCTGATCCTCGCACGCTGAACGGCACCGAAGAATTTCTACCCCTGTCCTCTTCAGGTTTGCTACACAGACATGTTGTCAGAATTCTGCTGCCTCGGAGCCGTGGGCCACCAGTGTCCAACAACGGGAGGGAGGCTCCTGCTCTCTGCGTGTTCTTCCTGTTTGGACTGAAAGCTGCCACAAGGGAGCGGTGACGGTGGTCGGCAGGTGGTCCCCTCCACGGCCCGGCACGCTCAG